TGCAGGTCGTGCCGGATCTCGCTGCACAGGAAGGCCTCGCAGAGCAGCTGCAGGTACTCGGCCACGTTCTCCTGACTACCGACCAGACCACCCCAACCCAACCCGAAGGCCCGACTTTCGGGTTGGGGGGGGGTAAGGGTTCCACATGTGTTTTCTCGATGTTTCCCGACCCCCCCCCCCCACTGGAAATCGATGGTAAATCTGAACTTTCGGGTTGGGTTGGGGTGGTTTGGTGGGTGGCGATCTCCTCCGTCACCACCCGGGCCGAGCCGCCGGGCACGAGCTCCTCCGCGGGCCGCCGCTCGGTGGGCACCGAGAGGAAGGCGAGCGGCTCGACGAGGGCCCCGTTCAGCGCGGCCAGGCCCCCGGGCACCAGCAGCGGGGCGACGCGCTCCCGGTAGAAGGCCGGGTCCAGCAGCTCCACGTCCGCGAGGCCCACGCTGCCGCCCAGGATGTACTTGCAGATCAGCGGGCTGATTGGTCGGCGGCGCGCACAAAGGGGGTACACCCTGCAAAATGCTTAAGAAATCATGGGTTAAGAAACTCATAGTCTCAGATCTTGAATAAAAAACAACATTTCTATTAAAATCTTAAGATTTACATTGAAACGTTAAGAATAATCGAGACTCTGGCCGAAAACTTAAGTTTTCTTAAGCATCGCCTAAGGTGTAGGGGGGACAGGGGGAAGCAGCTCCTCAGAAGGAGGCGGCGTCTCAGGAGGCGCCGGCCCTGCGTCTGCAGACGCGGCCCGCGCCTCCCGAGAAGCAGGGGGGCTTCTCTGAGAAGCCTTCGCCCCCCCCTCCCCCCCTATCATTGGGCGCCCGAGTTATCCGGGGTAACTCGGGTCCGGGGTAACTCGGGCTTGGACTCCCGAAAAGCGAGCCCGAGTTATCCCTGACCCGAGTTGCCCCTGATGATTCGGGGCTCTGACATCATGCCCCCCCCCCTTCTGCGCGCGGCCGAGATGGGCAGCGTGAGCGGCCTGCCGCCGTGCACGACGCCCAGCGCGAGGAAGCGGCCCGCGGCGAGGAGCTGGCGCCCGCGCCTCAGGCGCCCGTCCTCCTCGCCCTGTCCCCGCGCGCCCACCGCGTGCGGCCGCGGGATCAGCATGCGGCTGCTGAGGCCCAGGGCGAAGAGGGAGCTGCTGTCCGCGTCCTCCGCGCCAGCGGTGAGCTCCCGGCCCACGGCGTCGAACCAGTCGAGCGCGAGGCCGCCGGCGTCCACGCCGTCCTCGCCCACGTAGGAGACCAGCAGCCGCGGCGCCAGCAGCTCGGTGTCGGGGGCGCTCAGGAGCGCGCTCCAGCTGTCGTCGAGGAGGCTGCTGCGGCGCACCTCCAGCGACATGGCGTCGGGCAGCACTGCGAACTCGAATCCCTCCTCCAGCTTCGCCTGCCTCGCCAACAGCAGTGCGGCGTGCCGTGCCTCCAGCTGGCGGAGGTCCATCTCGGGCAGGACCTCAACGTTGTTCAGAAACTGGTCGGAGAAGCTGCGCTTCGGTGGTCGAGCGTCGAAATCGGGGTCACCGTCAAGCTCATCGGCGTTATCCTCTGGCCCGCTGGTCTGCCTCAAAAAATCGTTGCGCTCGATTTTGGCCCGAAAAGGGCGCTGGAACGCACGGCGCACCTCAGCCTCCACGAGCATCTTCGCATGCCACCTCCTAAGCCGGATACCCAGAATGGCATACACGCCCAGGAACACCCAGGTGTGCACCAGCGCGGTTGCGATCCACTCCGAGGCAGAGAGCTTTGACAACGCTCTCCTCCCCCCGCGGAAGACACCAAGCCAGATCCATAGCCGGCAAAAGACGAAGTCCACGATGTTGAGGACGATCTCTGTCAGCACCGCAAGCAGCGGAAGCAGGAGCCGCATGGCTCGAGTAGGGGATCGACCACAAAATTGTTTTGTCCCACAGTGTGGTTTGCTCGCCGACTCTACAAACCATAGCAGGAGAGCCCGCTGATCTACTAGGATTCCACATCGACGTGTCGTAGACGGGGGGAACTCGTTAATTTTAGGAAGATGAAATCAGTAGTATGAGCATCGTTTAACCGATCCCCATCCCCAGCGGCGTGGCCTGGGCCCCACTGGCCGACTTACCCCCCTGGATGGGGATATGGGCCGTCCCCCTCGGGCCTCGAGGGGTGCATCCCCCACTGGGGGGGGGGCCATTTGGGGGGGGGGGCCTCGAAGGGGATAGGGGATAGGGGACGGGGATGGGCGTCGGGGAAACGAGACTCGTCGTCGATCTCCTGCTCGGATGGCGATGGCGACCAGCTCCCCGGGGTCGAGCACCAGGAACGGAGCCTGACGGGCCTGTTTTCCACCACCACCACCATAAGCTGGAGAGGGGAAGGAGGAGGAGGAGGAGGACGAGGAGGAGGAGGAGGAGGAGGAGGAGGAGGAGGAGGAGGGGGAGGACCCCCTCCCCCTCCAATTTATGGTGGTGGTGGTGGTGGAAAACAGTCCCAACAGAGCCAGCACCGCCAGGAGCCACGCGCCGCTCGGCAGCTCGAGGCGGCTCGCGGCGAGGCACGCGGCGGCGGCGCCGACCACGTAGGCGTCCAGGACCACGTCGGCGAGCTGCCACACCCACCTCGGGGCTGAATGAAGGGGCCCCAGGACACACAAATAAATACACACAAATAAAAAGATCCCCCATATTTTCCCATATTTTCTGGGTTTCTGTCTTCCCCACCACTTCCCATATTTTCCTATATTTTCCTGGGAATCGAGGATTAATTGTGTCTGTGTGTTTTTTTCCCTCCTGACTGAACCTCCACGGTGCTTGTCGTTTTCGTTTTCTTCTCGCCTTCCTTCGTTCTTGTCTTGTCGCCGACTCTGCCGCAGAACGAGGTCGAAACGAGAACGGCCCACGGCATCGCCAAAAAACACCGTTTGGGCCCAGCCCCGGCCCACCTCTCGAAGGTCCCGACCCTGCCAGCCTGGGCCAGGAACACGGTCAGCAGCAGCCACAGGGACGAGCGGCGCGCCCCGAACCTCAGCAGCCTGCGCGGCACGAGCCAGGAGCCGCTGGCGAGCGCCAGCGCGTCAATCATGGGAGCGGCAGCAGGCGGCAGCCAGTGGCACCCGGAGGTGCATGTGCTGGGCGGCGCCGTGCCGCGGGGCGGTCGGCGAAGAGCCGTGCCCCGCCGGCCGAGCGAGCTCCCCGGCGAGCCAGCCCGCAGCCGCGCCGCGCAACCAGCTCCATCCGGCGCGCCCGGGGCGCCAGGGGGTGACCAGCCTCGAACGTATCCCTATCCCTGAGATTGACACGCCAAAGGGCGATGACAATCCTGGGGATTCGCCCTCAAAACAGAAGGGAATCCCTGAGATTGGCATCGTGATGCGGAGGTGCCCAGCATCGGGATAGGGATATGTTCCAGGCTGGTAAAGGGGGTGCGCGTGACCTGTGAGCGCAGTGGCACGGACTCAGCGGATACGGAGCACGAGCGTCGAAGCGAGGCGGCGCCAGAGCCGTATCCAAAAGCAACGCCGGGGCAGCTTGGCCAGCGAGACCACCAGGACATTGGGCCAGCGGCACCTCGGTGAGGCGTCGTCGAGAACTCATCAAGCAACTGCCCCCAGACATTTTGGCCAACGGGCCTAGGACGTTTATGTTGAAATCCGCCGGCCCCGTCGGCGTGTGTGAGGGGCTTGTCTTTTCGAATCGTCGTCTCCGTTGGGTCCGTCCTCCCGTTTCCCTGCACCCTCCTCCTCAAGCCTGTCAGCGAGAGAACAATCTAGCAATGTCATAATCGGTCCGACGGGAAGCCCCTTCCCTTTGATTCCCTCTCCGTCGGGAGGGGGGTCCCAGGGGGTGTCCTGGGGCGGGTCACGGGGGTGTCCCAGGAGGGTCCCGGGGGGGGTCCGTGGGGGGAGGGGGTGGGGGTCAAATACGCATCCCCCCCCTGGGGATCCCGGGACCTCAGAAAGTACCACGACAGGCCACGAGTGCCCCAAGAGGCCCCCAAGACGGTCCAAGAGGGTACCCAATCGCCAAACGATCGGCCCAAAACGCCTTCACGCCCTCCAGACTATTCAAACATGCGTCCAAGACGCCCCGAGAAGCCTCCAAGAGCACTCCCGAGAGGGCCCCAAGAGGCAAAGATAAGTGATGTTCCTCCAGATTTTGAAAGACTGGGGCGTTCTCGGCTTTTCCTCTTCCCGCCGCTTCATGACGTCCCAAGAGGCCCCCAAGATCGCCCCAAGACGGCCCAAGAGGCCTCAAAGAGGGCCCGCAAACAGGGCGAGGATCCCTTTCGTATTCATATTGCCTTCGGTTACTACTACTTATCTGACCCGGCAAGTCGTATCCCCAATTGCTTTGTTTCCCTGTCATGTCTGAGCTCGCGGCTAGATGATGTTTAGAAATGCCACGTCCAATTTGCCAACGTCCCCATCAGTGGCACCGCGTGCCCACCAGACTATGTTTGGTTGCCTGGGCGATATCATTATTCCAGATAACTTGTCATCGCGTCGCGGTTAGCTTGCAGGCCAGCCTTGACGAACTCACGCTCACCTTGGTTGTACGCGGTCAGACATTGACGCCCGCAAGGTTATATTGCATCAATGATTGCCGCATGGCGGGGGCGGGTATTGGCACGCCTGCTCTCACTGCCATTACCTCGCTCTGCTACCATGTAAGCTTACCAGAGCGATGGCAATAAACATTGAGGCCTGTGTTGTAAGGAAACGGCGCTGGAAATACGAAGCTGTGTCACACCGCCTGTCTGCGGGAATGATGACTTGAGGCAAGTGTCACGGGTTGAACAGTTATCTGAGGACCTACATTGAAATACCCTCTCCTTCTCCTGCTCCTCACCCCTCCTCCCCCTCATGACCCTCCTATTCCTCCACATTTCCTGGATCTTTCCCTTCCCCCTTCGCCCTCCTCGCCCTTACACACACCCTCGTCCTCCTAAATCATATTTCCCTCCCCCTTTCTCCTGCCCCACCCCTCTGGCCCCCAATGCGACTCGCACCGCCGCTAAGCCGCGCGCTCGATGGGAAGTCCCCTCCTCGGCCTGCGCTGGGGGCGTGGTCAATCGCTCGGTGGACAAAGAACGCATGATCGTTCGCTCATTCGTCAGATTGGCACTCCGCTTACACCAGATACGATGCGATACTCCGAGGGGGAGTATGCTAAGAGGGCAGACGTGCGGGTCAAACGGTCCCTTACAATGGAGAGGATATAACGGAACGCTGTCGCTTTGGAAACATACAACTACACAAACACACACACACACACACACACACACACATTTTCGTTACAATACATTACACCGCAATGCAATACATCGGGAGGGCACGCCGCTGGATGACCCCAAGGGGAGGGGTTGGGACCCCCCCCCTTTCCCCGATCCGTCGTCGGGGACCCCCCCCCCTCTCCCCCCCTTTCCCGATCCGTCGTCGGGGACCCCCCTCCCCCCTTTCCCGGTCCGTCGTCGGGGACCCTCCCCCCCTTTCACAAGGGAAAGGGGGGGGTCCGAACCCCCCCCCCCTCCCCCCCTTTGGCTGCCAAATTCGAACCCCCCCCTCCCCCCCTTTCGCCACGGCGCCCCTGGTCTCCGGAACCCGACCCCTACCACCCCTAATACCAATCCTCACCTTTGCCGTAACCCCTAACCCTAGCCACAAACCCAAACCCTAGCCCCAAACAGTACTCACTACTCATTACGCACTACTCACTACCCAAAATTCACTACTCGCTACTCACTACTCACTTCTCACTACTCACTACTCACTACTCACGACTCACTATTCACTACCCACGACTCTCTACCCACAAAGCATCACTCACTACCCCCTACTCCCTACCCACTACTCACTACTTACTCACTATTCACTACCCACTACTCAAGAGTCACTACTCATTAAACACAACTCACTACCAACTACTCGCTAATGACAAATCACTACTCACTACCACTGACCATTATCCAATACTCACTACTCACACGTCACTACTCACTACTCACTACTCACTGCCCACAACTCACTACTCACTACTCACTACTCACTACTCGCTACTCCCTACTCCCTACAGACTACTCACTACTCACTACTCACTACTCGCTACTCCCTACGCCCTACTCGCTACCCAATACGCACTGTTCACTACCAATTACTCACTACTCACTACGCTCCCACTACTTCCTACTACTTACTCACTACTCCCAACTCACTACTCACTACCCACAACTCAATACTCACTACTCACTAAACCATACTCACTGCCCACTACTCACTACTCACTAAACACTACTCACTACCCAGCAACCGCTATCCACTACTTACTACTGGGAACTCACAATTCACTACTCACTACGCACTGCCCAGAACTCACTACTCACTATCCGCTACTCGCTACCCAATAGGACATATTCACCACCCATTACGCACGACTTGCTACTCACTACTCCCTACTCCCAACTCCCTACACACTAGTCACTAGTCGCAAGTCGCTACTCACTACTCACTAATCACTAATCACTAATCACGACTCACTACTGACTAACTTCTACTCGCAACTCCCTACTAACTACCGACTACTCGATACCCACTTCTCGCTTAGAGAACGAGCAAGCCCACCGGCGGATCGGTCGGTGACGAGTTCGGCGATCGCAGAGCGTGATCGTTGCGAGAGAACAGTAGAGCCCTATCGTGCGGATGCGCGACCAGATGCAATATCCTTGGACGCTCAACTCACATCTGGCTGAGGACGTGCCGAAGAGGCATGGTTGCAGGGGCATATTGGGTAAATCACTCGTCCGCTAATTGCCCTTGAGTCTCTCAGGAGGGGAAAACAGTGGAACACAGAAGAGGAAGGACAACGACGAGTCAGGATCTTCCTCGTTATCCTCCGCTCCATGTTCCTTCCCCTCATGATCACCATCGTAATCATAATAATAATCATCATCAGCAGCATCATCCTCATCATCTTCAGCATCATCACCACCACCGTCATCATCATCATCATCATCATCATCATCATCATCATCATCATCATCATCATCATCATCATCATCATCATCATCATCAGCAGCAGCATAAGTATCATCACCATCAGCAGCATGATCAGCAGCAACATCAGCAGCATCATCACCATCAGCATAATCAGCACCATCAGCATCACCATCATCATCACCATCATCATTAACATCATCACTATCATGAGGAGCATCAGCATTGGCATGATCATCGTCAACAAGATCATCATCATGATGAACAACCATATCAGCATCAACATCGTCATCATCATCAGCAGCATCACCATCATCATCGTGAGCATCATCATCATCATCATCATCAGCATCATCATCATCAGCAGAATGAGCGTCATCATCATCAGCAGCAGCATCAGCATCACAATCCTCATCCTTATCCTGATCCTCATCCTCATCATCCTCATCATCATCATCATCATCATCGTCATCTTCAGCATCAGCATCAGAAGCATCATCATCATCATCATCATCATCATCATCATCATCATCATCATCATAATCGTAATCGTCGACGTCATCATCCTCATCATCATCAGCAGCATCATCATCAACATTACCATTATCATCATCATCATCAACAGCATCAGTATCCTTGCTATCATCACCGTCATCAGCACCATAACCATCGTCAGCACCATCGTAATGGTCATAAGTGGTATTATCATTGACATCATCATACTCACCATCATCATGATGATCATGATCATCATCATCATCATCATCATCAGCATCATCATCATCATCACCATCACCATCATCACCGTCACCATCATTGTCGTCCTTGTGGTCCTACCCCGTACTCTTATCCTCGTCGTCTTCCGAGTTCACTGCTCTCCCCTTCCTCGTCCTTCTCGTGCTCCTCCTACTCTTCATCATCTTGCTCATGTTCGTCTTGCACCCCTCCTGCTTCTGCTCCCCCCCCGCAGCTGCCTCTCATTCCTCTCATTCAACTCCCTCCTCCCCCATCTTGCCTCCGCTCCTCCCGCCTCCTCCCCCATCGCTCCCCGCACTCCTCCCCCCATCAGCGAGGGGGAACGTTAGGGGGGGACCCGCGTAAGGGGGGAAACATCGACCTGGAATCCGACATACATCGCGGTACATCGGCGATGGGCCCCCGATAGCAAATCCGCCAGTGTCCTGGGCGCTCGGCGATCAATGAGCGATTGTAGGGGAACAAAGTCTCGCGCAAAAATGAATGGATCCGCGCTGGAACCCCCTCGGTGGCGAGCGGAGCGCGCCAGGGGCAGCGCCGGAGGCCACGACAGAGGGGGCCCAGCGCAGATCCAAGAAATCCGCGCGGAGCCCCGAAAACTTGTGCTTACGAAATTCCTTCTTCATATTTTCGTCGAAGATCTGCAATGACTGAACGACTGGGGGTCGACGCGCCCCCAATATCCTGAATCTGGGGAGACCAAGGAGGTACCGATACCGCTACTCCCCGGACCTCTCTCCCGGAGTGCGTTCTGACCAGGGTTTCGAGGTGCATCCCACGGTGGCGACGAGGGCCTCCCAGGAGTCCGAAAACGGGGAAAGCGAGGCAAGGGTAGTGGTATGGGTACTCCAGATTTCGTAATAAAGAGAGGGGGGTCTCATTTCGGGGGGGTCTCTTCCAGGCTATCTTGGAGGGCCTGGGGGGTCTGGGGACGATGTTCTGGAGGGTTCTCCCACGGGGGAGGTCTGAAATGGCTTGTCTTGGAGGGTCCAGACCCCCTCCCTTTTATTACGAAATCTGGAGTACCTCTTCCTCCTCTGAGCATCAGCCCTCTCCTGGGCTCCCCCCGGCGTGCCCGCGCCGCGCCTGGCAGGGGGTCCCGGCTGAACGCGCGCCGCGGCGACGGCGCCCGCTGCGGGGTGCCGATGGCGCCGAAGGAGTGGTTGCCTGGCTCGGCGCCACCGGCCAGGCCCGCCCAGACCAGGGCGACGGCCACGACGGCCACGACCACACCAGCTGACTTCACGGGGCCCAGGGACACTCAGGTAAATGTAAAGACAAACAACAGGAGTCCCAATATTTTCTGATATCTTCTGGGTGTTTGTCTTCCCCCCCCCCCAATTTCCCATATTTTCCCATATTTCCTGGGGGATCAACGATGAATTGTGTCTGTGTGTTTTGTTCCCCCCTGATCATTCCGCGACTCGCAAAAGAACTGCTCGCGAAAATCCTGGATCTGCCGCGGGTGCTTTCCGATCCATGACGTCGAGGCAAATACGTGCTTGTCAGAAGTTAATGAAAGGCACGTTGTGATTAATGGAACACGCCAGGTGAACGACGGCAACACCCGCCATGACGCCGGCGGCGACAACGGTGTCCGTAACGGTGCTGGACGGGGACGGCAGAGCCGGCGACCAAGACCCCAGCGACCGCGGAGGCGACGACAGCGACCGCGACGGCGGCATCGGCGGCTGCGACTATGACGGCGGTTGCGACCACGGCGACGGCGACGGCGACTGAGACGACGTCTTCGTGCTTGTCTTTGTCCTACTCCGCTACTTCCTCCTCCTCTTCCTTTTCCTCCTCCTCCTCCTCCTCATCATCCTCCTCCTCCCTCCCCTCCTCCTTCCCCACAATACTATTCATCCCGGCCTCCTTCTCCTCCTACTCCTCCTCCTTTCCCGTACGACTATGTATCCCAGCCCCCTCCTCCTCCTCCTCCTCCTCCTCCTCCTCCTCCTCCTCCTCCTCCTACTACTACTACTACTACTACTACTACTACTACTACTACTACTACTACTACTACTACTCCTACTCTTCTCCTCCTCCTCCTCCTCCTCCTCCTCCTCTCTTCCTCTCTCTTCCTTCTCTCCTCCTCCTCCTCCTCAGCAGCAGCAGGAGCATCATCATCATCATCATCATCATCATCATCATCATCATCATCATCATCATCATCATCATCATCACATCAATCATCATCATCATCATCATCAGCACATCAGCATCATCATCATCATCATCATCATCATCATCATCATCATCATCATCATCATCATCAGCAGCAGCATCAGCATCAGCATCATCATCATCATCATCATCATCATCATCATCATCATCATCGCCATCGTCAGCATCAGCATCAGCAGCAGCATCATCATCATCAGCATCATCATCATCAACATAATTATCATCATCATCATCATCAGCATCATCATCAGTAGCATCAGCATCAGTATCATCATCATCCTCAGCATCCTCCTCATCATCAGCATCAGCCTCAACATCAGCATCAGCGTCAGCATCGTCATCATAATCAGCATCATCATCCTCACCATCATCATCATCATCATCATCATCATCATCATCATCATCATCATCATCATCATCATCATCATCATCATCATTCGCATTGACATCAGCAGCATCATCGGCATTATCATCATCATCATCAGAAGCAGCATCCTCATCCTCATCGCCATCATGATCCTCATTCCCAGCCTCATCCTCATCATCATCATCATCACCAACAGCGGCATCATCACTCGTGTCATCATCATCAGCAGCAGCATCATCATCGTCATCATCAGTAGCATCATCATCAGCATCCTCATCACACTCATCATCGGCATCCATCAGTGTCATCATCATCAGAATCATCGGCAGCAGCATCGTCAGCACCATCGGCATAATCAATACCCGAATTAAGAACGAGTAAGCGTAATAGCAACAACGGTAGTGAGAATAATGATTAACAAATGGTAACCATACGGATAGTAGTACTAGAAATGCTTATATCAATACTAACAGTAATACTGATAACCTAATTATACTACGAATGAGTGTACTAAAAACAACATGAATAGCTTTGTAGAATGACAATAATAGTAATAGCACCCATTATATGAATAATACTCAGCATCATCATCATCATCAGCAGCATCATCGTCGTCACCACCGTCAATCATCATCAGCATCAGCATATGCATCACTATCATCATCATCAGCAGCAGCAGCAGCAGCATCAGCATAACCATCATCATCAACAACAGCAGCATCATGATCACTGTCACCATCATCATCAACATCAAAGCCATCATCATCAGCAGCAGCATCAACATGATCATCATCATCATCATCATCATCATCATCATAATCATCAACATCATCAACAACAACAACAGGTGTGTGTGTGTGTGACCACCGTCTGCTTCTCCCACTGGCTACGTCATCCTCATCGTACTTCCCCCGAGTCCCTCCTCGCCCATCTTACTCTTTCCACCCCCTCCCCCCTCCTCATCCTCGCTGTCCTCCTCCTCCAACACCCCTACACACTTGCCCAACCACGGTGGAACGTGGGTCAGGGGTGCGCGGCATCGCTTGCTGTCTCGAATCACCCATGCAACTCGAGCACCGCAGTGAGGGGGACAGTCAACAATCCGCTGGCCTCCCTGCGGGGCCACAAGGGGGAATGCGCAGGGGTGTGCAGGTCAGGAAGCACCTCCTGGAAGGTCGAGGGAGCCCGATGTGAGGAGCCAGCAAGCAGTTCAGCAGGACTGAGCCCCGGACGAGCCGCAGAGAAGCTTAAGACTGAGCCCCAGATTGAGCAGGATTGGACGGGAGGAAAACAGACCTCACGAGATGATGCTGGGTTAGGCCAGCTTTCGACCACGGATATACCAGCGACGGCGCTGAATTTCTAGAAGCCTCCCAGAAGCTGCGTCCTCAGGTGTGCGGGAACTGTGCGGAAGCCTGCAAAGACGACGCAGAGACTGCACAGAGGTTTGTACGGACTGCGCAGGAGGGCGCCGCGGGAGACTGCGTAGGAGAGCACGAAAAGGCGTGCAGAGCCCACTGTGATGCCTGTTTTCTATCACCACCACCACCACCACCACCATCAGTTAGAGGGGGGAAGGAGGTGGATGAGGGGGAGGGGGAGGAAGAAGATGAGGACCCCCTCCCCCTCCTACTTATGGTGGCGGCGTTGGAAAACAAGCCCACCACACTGAGAGCGTGGTCAGGAAGGACCGAGCGGCGACGGCAGGGGGTATGCTAGGCTTGGAATGCATCCAGCGCCCCAGAAGCGTCTCTCATGAATGCATGAGGTGCTAAACATGAGCCCGGCGCGACCCCATTTAGGGATTCCTTCTTTCAAAGCAATTATAAGCAGTTCTGAGCAACGCAGCGCAATGCAATGCAATGCAAGGCATTGCTTTACATTGCTCGGCATCGTTGCTTGGATTTGCTTGGCAGTGTTTTGCATTGCTTGGCATTGCTCGGCATTGCTTTACTGAGTGTTACATTGCTTCGTTGTCTTGAAATCATTGCTTGACAGTGCTTGGCAACGCATGGCATTGTGTCATTATTGCATTGACTGGTTTTGCTTTGTTTTGATTTGCTTGGCATTGCTTTACATAACTTGGCCTTGCCTTGCATCGGTTGTCTTTGTATTGCTTGGCATGGTTTGGCATGCTTGGTAGTCCTTAGCATCGCTTGACATTACATGGTATGCTTCGCAGTCCTTGGCATTGCCTGACAAAATTTGGCATTGCTTGGTATTGATGGGCGCTGCTTAGCATTGCTTGGCATTGCTGAGCATTGTTTGATATAGCTTGGCGGTGCGTGGCATTGCTAGGCATTGGCATAGGTTCAGCGTTGACTGGCGTTGCCTGGCATTCCTTGTCATTGCTTGGCGTTGCGTTGCATTACTTGGCAATGCTTTGCATAGTTTGGCATTGTTTGGCACCGATTACCATTGCTCGGCATTGTTTCGCATTATTTGGCATTGTTTGGCGTTGCTTGGCGTTAATCGCAATCGCTGATTGGCACTGCTTGGCATCGCTGCTTAGCATTGCTTGGAATTGTTTGGGATTGCTTAGCTTTGTTTGGCATTGCATGGCATGCCATAGGAAGAAGGGCGAGGAACAAGACTGGGAAACCGAGGAAGGTCGGGACCAAGAAACCCGAGGAAGGAAAGCAAAGAACAAGACACCGGGGAAACAAGACCAGGGAGCCCAGGGAACGGACCGAGGAACCCGGAGAATCAAGTCAAGGAAAAAGACTGGGGTAACACTGAATCGACCTAGCGAACAGCTGTTCTGTACAAAACAAGTGAGAACCCCTTGGCAGAGCCTAGTTGGGGAAAACAGCGCACAACTGTGCGTATCATGGCGCGAGTGTCCAAAGACAAGCGGGGGAGGGGGCGCGGTCCCATCGATCACTCCGCATGCTTGAAGCAATTACCAAAATGAGCCCCAGTCGGATCAGGGGAGGGGAGGAGGGGGGAATGGGGCAGTCATCAATGGAGCTCGCAAAACGCTGCTACTTGTCTAAACGTCGAAACGGTCTGGCCAAGAGGACGAAACGAGGGGGACACGGAAGGGAAAACTCGCAGACCCGTTGTATCGCCCCACCCTCGGAGCAACCGACAGCGCCGAGCATAACAACATCATAATGCAGTCGGTGCATGCTCCTCGTTTGCGGATGAAGGCGGGGCATGAAGAGAAGCCCACGGACCACTGGGGGCCGCCACGCTCTGGTGCAGTTGGGAAGTCAGGGGCGCGCTTCTAACATTCAGGGCTGGCGTGGGTGGATCTAGCATATGAAGGGGACCAGCCTGGCGTGGAAGGGGCCTCTTAGGGATCTCCCTGGAGAGTGCAAAGGCTGCCTTGAAGCCGACTTCGGGGCTTCTTGCGGGCTCCAAAGGAGTCTGACTGAGGCCTTTGGAGGTACCTAGCGGAGTTGTTGGGACTTCTTGGAAAGTCTTGAATCGTCTTGGGGCTCTGTGCGGACCCTCTTGGGCCGTCTTGGCGCTCTCTTCAATCGTTTTGAAACTCTCTTGGCCCTTTCCACAGGCTTGAGCGCGCTCTGGGGCAGTATGGGGGTCCTCTGCGGGCGTAAAGAGGCCGTCTTGGGACCCTCTAAGGATTCCCGAAGCCATCTGAGGAAAAACACTGAGAATGTAACAACCTCTCTTCTTTCACTCTTTCGGGGGGTCCGGGCCTCTCTCTCTCTCTCTCTCTCTCGGGACAGCTTGGATCGTCGCTTGAGGCCCCATGTGGTCCCTCGCCGTCGGCCTGGCATCACTTCGGAGCGTCTTGGGCCACCCTGGGCCGTCTTGGCAGCCTGTGGGCGTCCTCCCGACGCGTCTTCGAAGCCCCTCGAAGCAGAACTGGCCCCACAAGAACATGTGGACCCCAGGGGCTAAATGAAGATTAGGGGGGTGAGTCTTGGAAAAATCGGCGGTCCTCGGGCCCGGGGGGGACATGGCCGGGGTCCCCCCGCTGGGTGAACATGCATTTGTATATGTTTATATCTATATATATATAGAGAGAGATGTGTATATATATATATATACATAGATCGAGAGAGAGATGTATATGTTTACGTAGGTGTGTATGTATGCATGTATGTATGTGTGTATGTGTGTATGTGTGTATGTATGTATGTATGTATGAATGTATGCATGCATGAGTGAATGTATGTCTGTATATATGTATGTATGGTTGTATGTATGTATGTATGTATGTATGTATGTGTGTATGGATGTATTGATGTATATGTGTATGTATGTATGTATGTATGTATGTATGTATGTATGCATGCGTGTATGCATGCATGCATGCATATATGCGTGTGCGTATGTTTGTGTATGTATGTATGTATGTGTGTTTGTATGTATGTATATAAGTATGTATGTGTTATGTATGTATGTATGTATGTGTGTGTATGTATGTGTGTATGTATGTATGTATGTGTGCATGTATACATGTATGTATGTATGTATGTATGTATGCATGTATGTATGTATGTATGTATGTATGTATGTATGTATGTATGTATATATGTTGGCATGTGTGTATGTGTGTATGTAAGTATGTATGCGTGCAGGTATGTAAGTAATCATGTGTGAATGCATGTGCGTATGTGTATGTATGCATGTGTCTATGGATGCAAGTATGTATGTACGTATGGATGGATGGATGGATGGATGGATTGGTGGATGTATGTATGTATGATTGTGCGTGTGCACGTGTGTGTGTATGTGTTTATGTATGCATGCATGCATGTATGTATGTGTGAGTATGTGCGTCTGTAAGTATATGTGCATGTATGTGCGTATGTGCACGTATGGATGCATGTATGTAAGTAAGTGCGTGTGTATGTATGTATGTATATTCGTGTGGTTGTTTGTGTATGTATGTATGTGTGTATGAATGTATGTAAATATGATTGTATGTAATTATCTATGTATGTAAGTATGTAAATATGTAAGTATGGACGTGTGTATGTTTGTGTGCGTGTATGTGTGTATGTATGTGTGTATGTGTGTATGTGTGTATGTGTGTATGTAAGTGTGAATGTAAGTGTGTATGTATGTATGTATGTATGTATGTATGTATGTATGTATGTATTTGTGTGTATGTAAGTACGTAAGCATGTAAGTGTGTAAATATGTATGCAAATATGTATGTGTGTATATGTGTGTATGTATGTATGTGTGTATGTACGTGTGTATGCAAGTATGTGTGTATGCATGTATGTAGGTTTGTGTGTACGTATGTATGTGTATGTATGTATGCTTGTTTGTATGTACGTACGTATACACACGAATCTACAAATCTACAAATATACACAGATGTATGTGTATGTGTATGTTCCTGCGCTGCGCAACTCCATCAAGCATGAGATGCCCTCGACGGATGGCATTTCCCAAGGGAGCCGGGCACGGCCCCAGCCCACCCAGGGCAGCGAGAAAACAGCCAAGCACTCGCAAGGAACGGGGCGCCCAACGACGGGAACCTCGGCGTGGGGTGGAAGGAAACGGGGGAGGGCGGGACGACAGGGGAAGGGAAAGAGGAGGGAAGAGAGGGGAGGGGAAGGGGGCGGGGGAGGGGAAGGGAAGCAAGGGGGGAAGAGAGGGGAAGAGAGGGGGAGGGGGAGGGGAGGGGAGAGGGGGGAGGGGAGGGGGGGAGAGAGGGTGAGGAGAAGAGAAGGGAAGAGAGGGGAGAGGGAGGGGGGCAAGGGGGGGGGCAGAGGGCGTGAGGTGGAGCAGGCGACAGGAAAGGGAGAGGTCGACGGGTCGACGGGTCGACGGGGTAGAGAAGGAGGGGGAGAGGGGAGGGGCAGTGAGAGGAGGAAGAAGGAAGAGGGAGGGGTGGGGAGAGGAGGAGGGAGGAGAGGGAGTGAAGTGGAGAGGAGGGGGGAGGGGGTGGGGGGGAAGCGGAGGAGGAGCGAGCGGGGAGGGGGGGAGATGGGGGGGAAGGGAGAGCGAGGAGAGGGGACGAGGGTGACAAGCGGAGGGGGGGATGCCCACTCCCCAGACCCACCGCCACGACAACGACGACGACGACGTCGACGTCGACAACGACGACGACGACGACGAATGTGAAAACGACGACGACGACGACGTCCAGCGCGCGCAGCCACGGCCCGCTCACGGCGCACTGCGCCGCCGCCGCCGCTGCCCGAGCCCGGGCGCGACGCGGGCCTGCCCATGAGCCCGGGGGCGGGGGGCGGAGCGGGGAAGACACGGGGTCGGGAGGGGGAGGGAGGAGGGAGGAGGGAGGAGAAAAGGAGGCGGAGGGAGGCGGGAGGCGGGAGGAGGAGGAGGAGGAGGAGGGAGGCGGGAGGCGGGAGGAGGAGGAGGAGGAGGAGGAGGAGGAGGAGGCGGAGGAGGAGGAGCGAGGAGGGAGGAGAAAGGGAGGAGAAAAGGAGGAGGAGGAGGAGGAGGAGGAGGAGGAGAAGAGAAGAGAAGAGAAGAGAAGAGAAGAGAAGAGAAGAGGAGGAGGAGGAGGAGGAGGAGGAGCATGAGGAGGGGGGGAGGAGGCCAAAATAAGTAGTCTTGTGGGCGGGGTCCCCGCCACGCGGCCCTTGCCCGACGGCCAGCCTCTCGTCTCGGGCCGTGCTCTGACGGCCCGGGGGCCCGGCGAGGGCTCCCGGTGGCCCAAAAGTCGGTGGAAAAACTCAGCACTGGTCCTTTCAGAGCGGTGGAGGCACTGGTCCAGGGCTGAACCTCAAACGGTGTCTTTCGTTCTCGTTTTGTTTTCGTTTTTCCTCGTTTCGTCTCCAATCCACCTCTACCGCAAAACGAAGTCGAAACGAAAACGGCCCACGAAATCGCCAAAACACCGTTTAGGTCCAGCCCTGGTGGAGGCATTGATGTATCGGCGATGCGGCGCGGTCGTCCGACCCCGTCCACTACCCCATGTGGGCGGCCTGGAGGTATGACGGGCAACGTCACGGGGGGGACCAGCTCGGGGAGGGGAACACCGACCTGGAATCGGCAAATTGGTGGTCGATGCGCATTCCCACATGAGCCCATCCCAGCACCCCGAATTGCCCCCCAGGCTTCTCCTCAAACACCTCCTCTCCTCTCTCCTCCTCGCCCGCCCAATCACTCGCTCGGGGCAGCGCCCAAAGGCATGCCCTGAAATCCGACGTCACGAAAAAAACGCAACATCATGTAAATCACGACCAGAGCCCCAAACCCCATCTTTCCGCGGCATTTCTCGAGCTGGATCGATCTGTGATGACCCCAAGACCCGAAACCGGGCGAGAACGCCCGATTTGAAAAAAGGCATCGCACGGCACTGAGGGGAGGTATATGTTTGGGAAACCAAAGATACAGATACCACTACTCTCCGGACCTCTCCCAGGGTGAGTTCTGACCTCCTCCTCCTCCTCCTCCTCCTCCTCCTCCTCCAGAACGTCGAGGCGAATCCAGCTGTGGAGACGAGGGCCTCCCAGGAGGGCCCCCAAAAAAACGAAAACGGAGCAAGGGTAGCGGTACCCTTCCCTCTTCCTCCTTTGATCCCCCCCTCCGTCCCTCCCTCCTCCCAAATCGGGTTTGGCCTTGTAGAGGCCGACCTCGCCTGGGTGAAGACTCGGGGCGAGGGGTCGACCAGAGCTTCGCCGCCATGTATCGACGAGACGAACTCTGGTGCCGCTGCTCTGGGTCGAGATCCTCGTGCCTCTTCCTCCTCCTCCTCCTCCTCCTCCTCCTCCTCCTCCTCCTCCTTCCTCCTCCTCCTCCTCCTCCTCCTGGTCCTCCTCCTCCTCATCCTCCTCCTCCTCCTCCTCCTCCTCGTCCTCCTCTCCTCCTCCTCTCGTCTCGTCCTCCTCCTCCTCCTCCTCCTTCATCTCTTCCTCCTGCATAGAGAAAATTGACTCGAAGGGTTTCCCCTTCCCTTTGTTCCCTTCCCCGGCCGGGGGGGGGTCCCGGGGGGGGTCCTGGCGGGCGTCCCCCGGGTCAGAATACCACCTCCTTCCTCCTCCTCCTGAGCGTCTTTTGCCACCTTCTCCATCTCCTTTTCGTTTGTCTCCCCTCCTCCTCCTCCTCCTCCCTCCTCCTCCTCCTCCTCCTCTTCCTCCTCCCCTCCTCCTCCTCCTCCTCCTCCTCCTCCTCTCTCCTCTCCTCCTCGTCCTCGTCCTCCTCCTCCTCCTCCTCCTCCTCCTCCTCCTCCTCCGCCTACCCTGTCACGCTGTCCTTTCGCTCCTTCCTGTGACCACACATCCCGTCGCCATCGACGGCCAAAACCTTCAGGGTCGGCGGCACCGGCCGTAAGGCCTTCACAATAAATAGACATCAATCCCAGGACTTCATACATTTTCTTCTGGACCACGAAGGGCAGCAATGGGGCCACTGAGGGCACGAGCGACTGAGGGCCACGAAGGGCGTACATCTGGGCCACACAGCGAGGGGCCACTGAGGGCAGCATCGGGGCCACGAAGGGCAGCGACTGGGTCACAAGGGGAGGGGCCACGAAGGGCAGCAGTGGGGCACAAAGAGCGCGAGCGAGCATGGGGCACGAAGGGCACGACCCTGACGGGCGGGCCGAGCGGGCGGATCGATCGTGCGCTCTGCGTGAATAGCCAGGAAGTTCCCAGCGAGAGAGCGATTCCAAAGTAAGTTTGAGGAAGTCCCCAGCGAACGCGCGACTCCTGAATGGCAAGAGCGCGGCGCCTGAGTAAATTGCGAGGAAGTCTCAGGCGGGAGCTCGATTCTTGAGTAAATTGCAAGGAAATCTCAAGCGGGAGCGGGGGACCGGAATAAATTTCAAGGAAATATCCAGCGGCAGCCGTTGTTGTTGTAAACTGGGGGCCAGGGGCACAATTTGAAGAAGAAAACTTTCCCTGATAAAAAAAACAGTGTGCGAGCGCCGGGAGGGGCACTTCAATTGAAAAAAAACGTGTGCACTGGGGGGGATCAACAATAATGACACCAGTAGTGAGAATTCAACAACAACAACAACAACAACAACAACAACAACAACAACAACAACAACAACAACAACAACAACAAGCCGCACCGCGGAACCCCACGCCAGCCACGCGCACAGGGACAGTGACAGACCGTTCGGCCCCCTCACTCTGACTTATGTGTTGGGAGGGCGGGTGTGAGTGGGCTAGACGGCCTATCACTGTTCCCGGTTAATAAGTCTATCTAGGAGGGTAACTTGATCACTGTTCCCTATTAATATACACCCCCTCCCCCACCCAGCCAGCAGCCAACCAGGAACCAGGACAACCCCATGAGGTCCCCCCCCCCACCATCCCTGTCAGAAAATACAAAACGCACTCTACCTCCACATTCGGAGCATGCGCGGCCGCCCCGCGACCATTCTGCATTGGCACTTTAGAATGACGGCTGGGCGCTAGCGGATCCCACCTGCCTTCTGGGCGCAGGTGGTCGACCGACTGGTGTGACACATCAGTGGCTGCTGCTGTTTCGCCTTATCGTTTCCGATGGCCTTTCGAAACCTCCCAATGGCTCCAAAATTTGCCAGGAAAGCTCAAAGCTGGGCCCAAGAGGCTTCCGAACCCGTGGCGTCTGCGGCGTTCTTACGCGATATGCTGACATCTGGGTGTTCCTTGCGTGGTAGGAGGGCGGATGGGTGTTCCTTGTGTAGAAGGTAGGCGAGCGGGTGGGTAGCTGGATCACTTTTCCTTATCAATATACACCCTCTCCCCCAGGCGACCGGGGGCCAACCAGGCACCAGGCACCAGGCACCATGCCGACACCATGCCCACCCGCCCCCTACCATCCTTGTCAAAAACCAATACAAGCCGCACTCTGCCTCCACATTTGGAGCATGCGCGGCAAACCCGATGCGGCCCCCCCACCATCCCAGTAAAAAATAAATGGTAAGTACACTTTGGGGCAAAGTCTTGAGTCATGTTCGTGAGGCCCGCGAGCACTTCGTATTGTTTTTGACAAGGACGGCGGGGGTGTCAGCATATTCCCTGCTATGCTCAAGGCGACCATCCCTGCCACCAAAAACAATATAACATGCACCTCGCGGCTAAATCTGCATCATGCGCGGCCATCCCGCGATCACTGTCAAGTGGCTTTTGACAGGGACGGCTGGGGTGGTGGCGCGTGGCCTGCTGTGCGCAGGCCCGGCAGACACAATGATGTGCATCGGTTTTCGAGGAGGATGGCGGGGGCCGACATGTTTCCCGATTTGTGCTGTCACGTGCGCAGGCGCACCTGACGCACTCTGCACGTGCCCCGAACGCGGCGCACCTGGCACGGCTGGCGTGTGCGGCACACATGGCCGCACTGGGAGCATGTGGCGCATCTGGCGCACCAGGCGTGCCTGGCACGCTTGGGCCCCACGGGTGCCTGGCGCGCGTGGCGCCCCTGGCACGCGTGCGCACCTCGCCCAAACGTCGCGCATCTGGGGTCGGCTTTGGTTCCCAGTAGCTGTCCATCCAAAGACGACCTCTGAACATGCTCAGGCTCGGGTGTTACTGCTGTGTAAGGAGGGCGGGTGGGAGTGAGCTAGACGGCTTGCGGGCGGGTGTGTGTCTTGACCCCTTCCCCTACCCCCTCCCCCTGGACCTCTGGGTGGGGGGTTCCGCGGGGCCTTGGAGAATCCAAGATTGTCTCGGCGAAAAAACAAACCACTGACTTCACGAAGGTTGTCAGCCAATTTTGGCCCCCTGGGAGGGAGGCAAATTTAATCGATCGCCTCCAAGAGATGGCCCCGAGGCTCCCAAGAGTGCCTCAAGAGGGCCGCAGGAGGCCCCAAGAGGACCCCAAGATGCCGCCAAGAGATTCCCAAGATGCCCCAAAGAGGCTCCCAAGAGACCCCCAAGAGGCCCCACCGAGGCCCCCCAAGGCACCCAGGACGCTTCAGGAGGCCACCAGGTTCGCCAAGAGGCCCCCAAGACGCTCCTACAGGCCTGCAAGAAGCTCTCCGGAAACATCCGGGGGAGACTCCGAGAAACATCCAAAAGGCCTCTGGCCTTTCCGTCCGCCCTTCTTCTCCTCCTCCTCACCTCCTCCTCCTCCTTCTCCTCGTCCTCCTCCTCCTCCTCCTTCTCCTCCTCCTCCTTCTCCCCCTCCTCTTCCTCTTCTTCATCCGCTTGATCCGCCTCCTCCCTCCTCACTTCTCCCTCCTCCCTCCTCCTCCGCCTCCTCCTCCAACTCCTCCAACTCTTCCTCTTCCCCTGGTTCCTCGTCGGTCCATCCTGTCCCCTTGAGGTATGACGGTTTCCAAGATCCCCGACGCCATGATTGTTTCACAGCGTCGACCCCAAAAATTCTCGACCCATTCCCCGGGACGGGTTCTTCAGCATGAATCGTTTTCTGACAGCCCAAAAGCCTGTTCAAGGCCTCCAGAGGCCAAAAATAGAAAAAGAAACTACTGTCATGATTTTGGTGTGTATGACCCGAGGAGGTCTGGGCTCCCAAGCTCTATTCCACTGCGTGCTCCCCCACAGGCCAGGTCAGGGCAGCTCGCCTGGGCGCCGTCCCTGGATAGGGGGCCACATGTGAACCCTACCCCACCCTCCCCCTCAGAAATCGTGGGGGGTAGGGGTAGGGTTCACATGTGGCCCCCTACTGGAGGGGCCGCCGGGGGCGCGCGGAGCCCGGAGCTCAGAGAGTCCGCGTAGGGGTCCCGCGGAGGCTCGCACGCCACCTCGTTCGAATAGGACGGCGACTACAGTCGGGGCGTTGACCTAAGGAAACCTAAATAAGGAACGAGGCCCCTTCTTTCCATTAATTAAATTTCGATGTCCCATCGAAAACCTACGGAAAACAGAAGGCAAACTGTGAAACAATTGAGGAACACGGAGCCCCTCCCAAACGAGAAGGGTTCCTTCTTCAGGGCCCCGACTGTACAGAATTGATTTACGGATCGTGCCATTCGAATGATCTTACGGCTCGGGGTGTTCTGGCCGGCGGAGGATCTCATGCTCGTGGAGGATGTTGATCTGTCCTGGGTCAGACCGCGCCCCAAAATTGATGCCCTGTCGAATAAACGTGGAACACGTGCATGTTACGCAGGTCTGCGAACATTTGAAGTTTGTTCAGTGGTTTGACACAACCTCAATCCTTAGAGGCCTCCAAGATGGGAAGGGGGTAGATGGGGTCGGAAGACCGTGCCGCATCGCCGATACATCGGCGATGCATCGGCCATGCATCGGCGATACATCGGCGACGCCAGCGCGAAGCAAACTGGGCTTCGCATCAAGCCGCATAACGAATGCATCGGCGATGTGGCGCCATCCTCCGACCCCATCTACTCCGACCCCATCTAGTAACCCTGGAATTCTGGGGTAAGTCCATTCTGAAGTCGATCTCCCACTCGACTCGTGGAGGAGCCCCGGGAGGTCCGTGGCATGCGTGCGCCGCTCCCGGAGGCCCCCTGCAAAGACCTCCGCTAATTACGGAAGCCCTGCCCCGCCACAGGGAGGTCTAGGCATGCGTCTGGGAGGATGGGAAGAGGAGGAGGAGGAGGGGGGAGGAGGAGGAGGAGGAGGAGGAGGAGGAGGAGGAGGAGGAGGAGGAGGAGGAGGAGGAAAAGAGGAGGAAAAGAGGAGGAAAAGAGGAGGAGGAGAAAAGAAAGGAAAAGAAGAAGGAGGAGAGGACAAGAGGAGGAAAAGATGAGGAAAGAGGAGGAGGAGGAGGAGGAGGACAAGCTAGGTGCGTCGCGTCATGTCTGTGACGTCTCCCCTCCCCCTCCCCCCCCCCCCCCCTCTCCCCCCCCCTCTCCTTCCCCTCCCCCTCCCCCCTCCCTCCCCTCCCCCTCCCCCCCCCCTCCCTCCCTCCCTCCCTCCCTTGATCCGGCCCACGGACCCTCGCGATCCTCGCCTCCAGAGCAGAGGCACGGGCCCGCTATGCCCCGCCCCTCCCGCGGGAGGACGGCCGGGGGCTCGGGGCCACGCCGCCCCTCCGGGGCCGGATCTTGGCCGCTTGCTCCTCGGGGAGGGGGGGTGGGCGGCGGCCGGATGGGTCAGCCTCGAAGGGAAGGAGGAGGAGGAGGAGGAGGAGGAGGAGGAGGAGGAAGAGGAGGAGGAGGAGGAGGACGAAGAGGAGGAGTAGGAGGAGGAGGAGGAGGCCCCCCTAGAGTCAACCAGTATAGTCAGGATGCGCGATAAGGATGCAAGGGCCTTGGACGCCCATTCCGAAGCTTTTCGAGCGGGGCGCGGCCAGCGAAAGCGGCGAAGGATGGACCGAGGAGGCAAGGATGCAAGGGTACCCTTGGAAGGTTGCCCATCCTTACTATGCGGGTTGACTGTAGGCCTGCCAGTTGGGGTCGGAAGAGATGGGGTAGGAGGATCGCGCCGCATCGCTGATGCATCGGCGATGCGGCTCGATGCGGAGCCCGACGTTCTCCACGCTGGCGTCGCCGACGTAGCGCCGACGTGGCCGATGCATCGCTGACGCATCGCCGATTCAGACCCCGTTTAGGAGGCCTCTAGAAGCGGGAGGTCGGATTGGCTCGGGATGTGCGTCGGATCGGGCAGCATGGGCACGAGGTCGAGATCGGATCGGATCGGCTGCACCAGGATGCAGACTGGCGCCAGGTAGGCATCGAGCCGCATCGGACCGCCAAGGCATCAAAATCTAATCGGATCGACTCCTCGAACCGGCCGACATCGCCACCGTCATAGCCATCGTCATCGCCATCTTCGCCATCGTCGCCACCGTCGCCGTCGCCGTCGCCATGACAGTCGCCGTCGCCGTCGCCGTCGCCGCTGCCGCCGCCGCCGCCGTCGTCGTCGCCGTCGCCGTCGAAGTGGGCCCCGGGCCAGGAGGGCGGGGCCGGCAGGACGAGGGGGGTCATCGGGAGAGGACCGCTCGCGGCACCCCCTCGCCCAGCCCGCGGCCCCGACGGGGGTGGGAGCGGCGCCCCCCTCGGCCCCCGGGGGGCAGCGCCGCCCGGGCGCTCAGAGAGAGGCCAGCGCGCAGAGAGGGGCCCGGCAGTGCCCAAGACGCTCCCAAAAGTCGGCGCGCGCGTTTTTTTGGCGCGAGTGCACAGGGGGGAGACACGGGGGGAAGAAAGGTGCCCCTCTCGGGCCCCGCAAGCTCCCTCTGGGGCCCTACCCCCCACGATCGCACCCCATCAGTTCGTGCCCAAGCGTGTGCCTATTTTCCCCTCCGGATCTGCAGAGGGCAGAAGAGCCACCCTCAAGCCGTTTGGACAAGGTACGCCCGAGGAAGAAGTCGAACAGGGCAGGGCTGTCCAGTGAGCGCCAATGGCGGGGGTCGGGGTGGCCTCTCCTCCCTCGGCTTTGGTGTGAGGCCTCAGGAGGCCGCCGGGAGGGAGGAGACGGGGAGGCCAGACCCGAGCGCGCGAGCCGCCGCTGACGCGCGGCATGCAGCGATGCGGGAGCCCCAGCGGACCCGCACCGAAGGTCGCGCCCGCAGAGGGTGACTCTTGCGCGCAGTCGAAGCGCATCCCAGGGCTGGGCCTAAACGCTGCTATTCGTTTTGGTTTCGTTTTGTGGCTCGTTGTGTGTCCACCTGTGTTCCTGCACCGCCCTGCAAAAAGGGGGGGGGAACAAAAAAAAAAAAAGACTGCCGAAGTCCAGCGAAACAGCGCTTAGGTTGATGGGCCTGTTTTCCACAACCACCACCACCACCATGAGTTGGAGGGGGAGGGGGTACTCCTCCTTCTCCCCCTCCTCCTCCTCCACCTCCTCGTCCTCCTCCTCCTCGTCCTCCACCTGGCCCCCCTGGTCCTCCTCCTCCTCCTCCTCGTCCTCCTCCTCCTCGTCCTCCTCCTCCTCCTCGTCCTCCTCCTCCTCCTCCTCCTCTCTCCTCCTCCTCCTCCTTCCTCCTCCTCCTCCTCCTCCTCCTCCTCCCTCCCTCCCTCCCTCCCTCCCTCCCTCCCTCCCTCCCCCTCCCTCCCCCCTCCAACTTATGGTGGTGGTGGTGAAAGCCAGGCCCATCATAGGTCCAGCCCTGGCGCGTCCTCGTCCTCCTCGTGCCGCGAGCACCCCTGGGAGGTGCTGCTGAGGAGGTCTGGCGCTGCGCGGGCGCAGGCAGCCAGGCTGAGGCCATAGAGGAGAGCAGATGACCTCCTGCCCCTGCTCCTCCTCGTCCTCGTCCTCCTCCTCCTCCTTCTCCTCCTCCTCCTCCTCCTCCTCCTCCTCCTCCTCCTCCCTCCTCCTCCTCCTCCTCCTCCTCCTCCTCCTCCTCCTCCTCCTCCTCCTCCTCCTCCTCCTCCTCCTCCTCCTCCTCCTCCTCCTCCTCCTCCTCCTCTCCTCCTCCTCCTCCTCCTCTCTCCTCCTCCGTCCCTCCGTTCCCTCCCTCCCTCCCTCCCTCCCTCCTCCCTCCTCCCTCCCTCCCTCCCTCCCTCCTCCCTCCCTCCCTCCCTCCCTCCCTCCCTCCCTCCCTCCCTTCCCTCCCTTCCCCTCCTCACTCCCCTCCCCTCCCTTCTCCCTCCTCCCTCCGTTTCTCCCTCCTTCCCCTTCCTCCTCCTGCTCTGGGCGACGATGCTAGTATCATGTCGTGGCTGTTGTTCACGGCGGCGATGCAGTCCCGCGAATCAAGCGTGACATCATGGCGCCCACTGATGATGATGATGATGATGATGATGATGATGATGATGATGATGCTGATGCTGATGCTGATGATGGTGATGGTGATGGTGATGATGTTGATAATGAGGATGCTGATGATGATGACGATGATGATGGTGAATATGATATGGATGCTGATTGTGCTGATGCTGCCGCCGATGATGATGATGATGATGATGATGATGATGATGATGATGATGATGATGATGATGATGATGATGGTGATGGTGATGATGATGGTGATGGTGATGATGATGGTGATGGTGATGGTGATGGTGATGGTACTGCTGCTGATGACGACGACGAGAAGGATGATGATGGTGATGATGGTGATGGCGGCGATGATGATGGTGACGGTGGTGGTGGTGATGGTGGCGGTAATGGTGATGATGCTGTTGCTCCTGCTGACGAGGACGACGACGAGGAGGATGATGATGTTGATGGTGATGTTGATGATGGTGATGATGGTGATGATCGTCATCATCATCAGCATCATCGAAACCATCATCATCATCAGCAGCATCATCACTATTATCATCACCACCACCATCATCAGCAACATCACCATCACCATCACCATCACCATCACCATCACCGTCATCAGAATCCTTATCCTCATCCTCATCAATATCATCATCAGCATCATTAATATTAACATCATCATTATCATCATCATCAGCAGCAGCAGCAGCGTCAGCATCAGCAACATCATCGTCATCATCAACAACAGCATCATTATCACGGCGCGCGCTGCACCATGTGCGCAACGCCTGGCAAGGACGACACGATTCGTTGCCGTGCCGACGAGGCCGGCCCCTCCACAACCCGGACAAGACGGCCACGGAAACCTCCAAGATGGCCGTAAGAGCACCCCAAGAGAGCCCCAGTCAGGCCTCCAAGACGGCGTCCGAAGGCCAAGCGTTAGGCTGGGCATGTCCCCCTACAGGCGGATTTTGGACGAAACTTTAAAAAACACCCGGCAAAAACATTAAAATAGCCAAAAAATGGTCGAACAAATCGTCCCCAGACTAGTTGTTGACTATCTTTGAATTTTCCCCCTGTAGAGGAAAACGCCCGACTCAAGCCAAGAGGCCCATGAAAAGGCCCCCAGAGGCTCCCGAGAGGCCCCCGAGAGGCCCACAAGAGGCCCCTCAAAGGCCCCCGAGAGGCCCCTCGGAGGCCCCCGAGATGCCCCCAAGAAGCCTACGGGAGGCCCGAAGAGGAATCCACGAGGCCTCATCTTCCTCCTCACGCCTCGTGTTTCTCCTCCTCGCCGCGCAGGGCCTCTGGACCTCCTCCTCTTCCTCCTCCTCCTCCTTCTCCTCCTGCTCCTCCTCCTCTTCCTCCTCCTTCTCCTTC